TTTTGACTTATGTTTGATTAAGCAGATATAGCCATATCTGTTGTAATCATCAATCAAAGACACATATAAGCGGTTAGCATCCCTTGTAGCGGTTCTAAATGGTCCACACACATCGGTGTGTATGAGATCCAACAAACCTTCACCCCTTTCACAAGTACCAGTGAAGGGTGACTTGGTAATCTTTCCAAGTAAACAAGATTCGCAATTGTCATCCGACCTTAAGTCGAATGACTCCAAAAATCCAGCCTTTTGGAGTTGGCCTATGTGCTTCTTGTTGACATGTCCAAGACGACAATGCCACAAGCATGCCTTATCCAAATCATTGGAAGAATCAATGTGCAACACATTATTTCCTAAGTTGTCTACAACCATCACAGTTTCATATACACCATTACAAGGCAATGCTTTAAAATGAAAAACACCTTTATAAAAAGCATTAATACGACCAATTTCATTATCAAATGAAAAACTAAAACCTTGTTTGTATAAACCATGAAAGGAAATAATATTTCTCGCCATTTGAGACGAGTAGCAACAATTATTCAAATCTAATTCTAACCCACTACTAAGCAATAAACAATAAACTCCAATCTTGGTAACAGGCGACATTTTCCTATTCCCCATGATCAAGTTCATCTTCCCGTGCTCCACATCCTTACTTCTTTTTTGTCCCTGCAAATCAGAACAAATGTGAAATCCACAACCTGTAGCAAGGACCCAAGAACAAGAATGTGATGATTTATTAGATAGAATAGTGTAAATACCTGCATGGGTGGCCTTAACCTTCCTATCTTTAACATCCTGCAAGTATTTGGGGCAGCTTCGCTTCCAGTGCCCCTTTTCATGACAATAGAAACACTCTGCTTCCTTAGGAATGGTAGAGGGAGCAGCAGAACCACCTTTGGTCCCACTAGAAGAGGATCCATCAAGAGACTTTCCCTTGTGGCTCTTAGAGGGAGCCTTCCTCTTCTTCCATTTCCCATGTCCAATTGCCAAGAAAGGGGCAGTAGCAGGAGTAGAAACAACATATTTACATTTGAGACTACTTTCAGAATTCCTCAAAAGGCCTTGAAGCTTAATAAAGAGTGACCTCCTCCTTGTTCATATGATAGGTCATACGGAACTGATCATAAAATGGAGGTAACGAGTGTAGAATGATATCTATGGTCAACTCTTCATCGAAGTTCACATTCAACTTAAGCAAGCGGTCCACAAACCTTTGCATTTTCTGCAAGTGGGCCGTGATGGGTTCTCCATCCTTCATCTTTTTTGTTATCGTGGAGGCGATGATTTCATACCTCTCTTGACGAGCACTCTGATGGTATCTTTCCATCAAGTCTTGGTGCATCTCAAAAGGGTAGAAGTCCTCATAGGACTTTTGGAGTTTAGCTGTCATAGTGGCCAACATGATACAAGACACCTTGGTGGCATCCTTCTCATGAGTCCTAAACTCAACGATCTCCTCAGGAGTAGCAGAAGACTCATAAATTTCTTTAAGCTCTTTGTCGAGGACATATTCCTTGTCCTCGTAACGAGTAACCATCCTGATGTTCCTGATCCAACATTGAAGTTGGAACCATCAAAGATAACTCTCCCACACAAGTTCATAGGGAGAGAAAGAGCCAGAGTAGGGTTGAGCCAGAAGCAATGTTGGAAGACATCTGAAAAAGAAAGACAAAGTTTAGATTAGATAAGAGTCCTTAATATAACACCCAAATGAAATATTAAGGCTAGGACCCAACACAATATTTTACAATTTGGAAGAGGGATGTCGTAATCCAACTGCAAAATATTTCAAGGTAGGTAAATGATGATTTACCAATTTCCACCATGAAAAACGAAATTGATTATTAGGTTTTAATTGGATTGAAATTCCTAGATTCCTTTGAGATTCATTGAAATTTTCAATGGCATGTTTAAATCTCGATTATGCCCTTCAAGTTTGTGACTGGGATGCCGAGGATCACAAACAAGGTGTGAATAACCATGAAAATGTGCTTGGTACACTCGATGTCATTTATCACCTAATCAGCGTGCCGGTTAACCACATGCGCTCCATTGATCTATGAAAAACATCAAGTTACCCTTTTCCACCCTTACTAGTCCAAGTTAATGTGCCGGTTAACCACACACGCTCCATTAACGACTTGGCAATGTGCAAAGTGCGATTTCATGGATTAGCATCAATTTCACATTTTTCCTAAAGTAACTAAGATTGAGAATTTAATAAAACATTTAGTTACTTTATAATTATAATTATACTTTTAACGAGAATTAATGTCCTATCCTACCCGTTCGGCTAACGACCATCCACCAGTCAAGGAAGCGGTAGGTGAGAGTGGAGACCCATTAAACCACCATTTTATAGGCAGTAACCTTATACCCCCCTTGATTGGTTGAGGCTTTACTGCTTTGTGTGTGAGCCAAGAGGCCGAGGCGTTCCAACCCGATGGTTGAGTGGGCCCGAGGGTATTTCATACCAAGGATGATTGGACCCATAGTGTATTGGCATTCCAACCCGATGGTTGAGGGGCCTGGAGTATTCCAACCCGATGGTTGACTGGACCCATGGTGTATTGGCATTCCAACCAGATGGTTGAGGGGCCTGGGGTATTCCAATCTGATGGTTGATTGGACCCGGCATGCTGTTATTGTATATATGTTATTTGGTTATGTGTTGGTATTTTGGGGGAACTCATTAAGCGTTGGCGTACAGTTTTTGGTTATGTTTCAGGTACTTCAGATGACCGCGGGAAGGCGAAGGCATGACCGTACACATCCTCATGTTTTGGACTTATGATCTTGGGAACTCTGATGTTGGAATGCTTTTGAAAACTATGCTTGTAAACAATTTGTGAAACTGATGGATTTTTAAAAGCTTAAATTTATCATGATTTTTTATGTGTGTTACAGTCCTTTTTGAATTGAGGACAATTCATTACAAAGGAGGAGGGGATGTGAAAGTCACTTCTGTTCCGATCCGTGTATAGATGGAGATCTGATTTTGTCTGCTGGTTGCGATCTGTTGCGACTAGTTGCGATCGATCGCACCGGGTCGTATTCATTTGATGTTTATTGTGAACGAGGTTCATTGCGATGCGTTGCGACCCATTCAAATCCCTCGGAACGCATCAGTGTCAGAATATTATGTTTGGGCCCGATTCAACTATCGGTACTATAGGACTCACCTTGTGATTGGTTCCGAAACCCGGAAACCTTGGATTCTCATTCCAATGGACTTAGTTTCGTCTGGGTTTTGGTTTTGATGACACCTTGGTTCCAATGGGTTTGAAGAAGCAATAGTCTGATTGGCTTAGATTCAGTATGGTGACCTCGGAGTTTCCAATCACGTAAGTGTCACGCCTCGGTAGTCTCAAGGTCGTCTTTTCCACTTCCCCAAGAGTAACTTCCAGCTTTTTATTCCATTTTATTATTACATCTTTAATGTTTTTAAATAATCCATTAATTGGCATAATTATTTAGGTGAATTTTGAGTTTATTTCACTGTTAGAGTGTAAGGCTATATAAAGCCATTGTTAATAATTTGTAACAGAGTTAGTCGATTGAAGTTTATAAAATTTGAACTTGTGTTCATCTCCAGTTGTTCGTATAATTCAAAACTGATCTTTGTTGGGACACGTTTCCTAGTACTGATCTCGAACTCAAACCAATAGGTCTTGGTTTGTTTTCACAGAAGTATCAAGCTATAGGTCTAGTTTGATTTTCAAATCTATCTTTTGTTATTTTGTTCTTGTCCTTGTTCTTTCATCCACTGCATATTTGGTTTCAAGTTCCATATTTAAATCTTTTGTAGTGTCAAGGGTCCGATTCGTGTTGGTGGATTTTTAGAGCGGTCCAAACACACATGAGACGAGCATTCACAGACATGATTGAATCAACAAAACCATTGTTCATGTTCGTTCGTTTAACCAAACAAATGAGAATTTGTGTTAATGTTCATTCGTTTATTAAATAAACGAACTTACTGCCGAACGGTTCACAAATAGTCCGCTGAACGTTTGGTTCGTCTACAACCCTACATGCATGAGAGGAAGAAATCACCACTTCTTAAATTCATGTTATTTCCTGTATATTGAGCTTTAGCTGCTTTCTTAACTATAATCACTAGCTAGTAAAATCATTATGTAGAATGTCTTGACAAATTTCAAGTGATTAAAAATTGGTTTGCATAATTTTTAAATTTAGATTTTTGAACATCATGTTTATTTATTTCATACTTAATCACAACAAATTAAATATATATGGTTTTAAAAGTATCACATACTTTAACTGCTTGAAAAGCTTATTATCACATGTATATAGTTTACATCAATGTTGTTATTTATAATGTACTTCATGTGTCTTTTAATTACGTTACGTTAATTAAACATCAACATAAATGAAATACATTATCATTTGGACACGACGTCAAGCATACAAAATATTCTCTAAAGTAATTAATCATGATTATAACAAACCTCAAAGTAGACTAGTCGTTTTTAAGCAACTACAAAGTTGTTAAACTTGTGAACTTGATATTCAAACTAAATCAAGTCGACATGTATTTGTACAATATTTTTAAGGTAAGATAAATTTCCTACGGTTAATCCTTTGTAAATAAATGGGAAAAGGAGTTAGAAGTCGAGACACGAGACTAAAAGGAGCACGTGTGATAGATAATAAGTAAGCATATGTATAGCAAATTAGAAACTAAAAAGAAATAATAAATGGTTTTATCGTACACCACCTACCGTCTTCCCCTCTACTTGTCACGCAACAAGGATGGTTTATATGCCCACATTCTCAAACAATACCATATAAATGAATCCCCATTTCTTCATCTTCAATGAGATCGATCTTACAATTTCTGTTTTTGTAAGACTAGTAAGAAGATGCTTTAGGGTTTCTCAAGAAACCCATAAAGCTATCTCCATCACTTTTCTTATACTATATATACATATTTATATTTATACGTAAGTATATATAGCTACATTATCAAAATGGAGATTTTCGATCTTCATCATCCGTTGATTCTGGTCTTTGGCATCCTAGGTAACCCTATATACAGACTCTTTTAATTTTTTAATTTTTTATTTTTTAAATTTAATTTTCTTTAATTTCAGGTTATATATATACAATATCAAGTATACTTGCATTGAATGAAAATGTGATGCTATTTGATCTTACAATTTGGTTACTAACTTATGATGCTAGCTAGGATTATAAGATCAAATCTAGTTCCTTGTGACACACTGTGCATAGGATAATCAATTAATAGTGATTTTGGCAATGTCATTACAATTAACATACATAAATTATAGATACTTGATGAGGTTTGAAATGCATGATCCACCTTCTTGGAATTAAAACAATATGTGTGAGTGCATATTATTAGACATGTATATAATCCACAATAACAACCAAACTATGAATGATGAAAAAAGATATTTTTAATCATATATATTTGATCACCACGTTATATGCATGTGATGATATTACAGGTAACATTGTGTCTACCGGTGTTTACTTTGCGCCACTGTAAGTGAATCGTCTTTTTATCTTTTGAGACTACTTCTGGTTTTGATAAATAGAAAGTTATTAGAACCTCTTGAATTAAATATTACACAGGCCTACATTTATCCAAATATTCAAGCAGAAATCCACAATGGGGTTCCAGTCTTTGCCATATGTGGTGTCCCTGTTTAGCGCATTGCTGTGGATGTACTATGCATTTATCAAAAAAGGCGACACTTTCCTTCTAATCACAATTAACGCTCTTGGTTCATTAGTTGAGTTTATTTACGTCATCATTTTCTTGGTATATGCTACACCTAGTGTCAAGGTACATATGTTACATACAAAATCCTACCAATTAATTTCCATCAATGGCGTCATACTTATATCAATGTTGTTACGTACAGAAGCATACAATTATGGTTGTGAGTTCTACGATGGCGTTGTGCATTGTAATATCTCTGGGATCGTTTTATTTCTTGGAAGGAGTGAGTCGGGCACTAGTTGTGGGTTGGATTTGTGTTGGAGTTTCCATTTGTGTTTTTGCAGCACCTCTTACCATAGTGGTTAGCACTTAGTAATTACTCATTATGATTTTCCGAGTTTATTTAACCCTTAAATAGTAATTAACAACTTCAATATACTAATAAACCAAACAAAAACAAAAAATTCAATGAAATCGTCTAACTATGCATCAATCGGTAAAAGAGGTGTTCAGGATTCTTGTAGGGAAACAATGTTGGAGCCTATTCTTATATTTTCTATTTTGTTAACAAATATGTTAACTTCTTTTCTTTTAATTATATAGTTTCAAGTTGTGAAGACTAAAAGCATCGATTTCATGCCATTCCCATTATCATGCTTCCTCACGTTAAGCGCCATGATGTGGTTTGCGTATGGGATGTTCACATCCGACTTATGCGTTACTGTATATCTCAGATTCTTTTTAATTTCTTATTTAACAAATAATGGTTTTGTTTAACTAGTTATCTAACTACAAGTTTGTGTATTTTTATTATAGGTTCCCAATGTTCTAGGTTTTGTATTGGGGATAATTCAGATGTCAGTATATAAATATTACAAACAAAATATAAGAAATGTGCCAGGCATTCCAGAAGCAAAGGAGCAAGAACACATAATAAACATAAAGACATCCAATTCGGAAGTATACCCTGTGGATTCTGGTCAGAGCAGCAGCACTGAAGTCGAAGAAGAAAAGAATACAACGAAGGGTGGTGGTGAAGTTATTGAGCATAATAAGTGTAGGGCAAGGGCGACGGTGGATGTTGAACCTTGTGGGGTGGAAGTAGTCACTATCAGTGTGAAGCCTCTGCTCATAATTTGTGCAGCTTAAACCTATTTCCCCATTAAATGGTTCATCTATATATATATATATATATATATATATATATATAATATATTCTATATATATTATATATATATATATCTATATATATATATATAAATGGTCTTGATCATATCCATGTTGTAACACCAATGTATTGAGCGGGTCTAAAGGGATATTAAGTTACTCAGAAATTGCATATTTTAGATTCCAGTTTTTCTTTTCTTAAATGGAACTTGGTTAGAAAAGACAAAAACGTTTAAAAATAATCTCAACAGACGCATCATTTAGTTATAATAGTAAACTCAAGAAGGTATTAATTTAAGCAACCGTTCTTCGTATTTTTGCATTCGATGCTCTATATATATATATATATATCTATATATATATATATATAGATATATATATATATATATATATATATATATATATATTAGATATATATATATATATATATTGGGGTAGGTTTAAATGTTCTAGATAACTATTGTGTGGATAAATGGACCGATCACAAATTAACAAAACTTAAATAATTTATTAAATCAATAAGGGTAATTTGGTAAATGGCTTATAAATCAATTAATTGAATTTTAAGTAGAGCCTATAATTTTGGTAACTTTGTTTGAGATTGAGCCTATAATTATAGCATCCATGTTGATCGACAACTAGGGTTCCCTTGCAAAATCGAACATCAGCCTTGCACCCCTAATCAGATTAAATTCGTGTTCATCTTTATTAGCATCCGACGTCTTCCTTTCTTCCCCACCTCCGACTCCAAGAAGCCTTCATCGCAAATACATAATTGTTCTTCATAACCCTATGTCGTGAATGTAGGAAAATTTAATTTTCTTTCGTCTACCTTAGACGTATGTTGTTTAAATAAGAATCAGATTTTGTATACTCTTTTTTAAAATAGATATCGTCGTCATCATGGTCACTGTTACACATCTAGAACCCTAATAATTATGTGATATATGGTTTTTTAAATCCCTAGAAAATCGTTTATGCTTTAATTTTGTGTGTTCAATTGATGGTTTTTTTATCGTATATCAGCCTCTTTTGGGGTTAATTTTATTTGATTACGATGCTTTTTGCGATAGCCATGCTTTTTGTGTAGTCAATTGTGTCCATCACTAGTTCTATTCTGATTCTCAACAAAAAGTGATTTGGTAAAAGTGACAATGCTTATGTGATTATTGAGGTCAAGCTAATCAAAAGCACGCAAGAACTGAACTTGTATTAAAAAATATACGACCTGATTTAGAGTGTTCGGGCTAGCAACAATGAAATTAATTATTATTAGTTTAACTTTTCATGTGTTCTTGACTAATCTTTTGTATACATTAAATGAATAATTTGACTAATCTTCTATGTAAATGTTTAATTCCTTTATTTATACTTTTTTATTGTAGCCATTCATCTTTTTTAATGAAAACCTACGCAAATATAATATGTGATTTGGTTTTGATTAATGTGTTCATTATGTTTAATTTGGTTCCTTTGTTTATATTTTTTTAGTGTAACAATTTATTTTTTGGAATCAAAACCAACATCAAATACAATGTCACTTGGTTTTAACTAATCTTCTCTATGTTGTGTACTATTTTATTGGAATAAGAAAATAGTGGTATGCTATAAGAATTACTAAAATGGTGGTTAGAATCTAACCATATAGTATGAATTCTGTCAGAATTACTAAACTTTGTTTAATTATTTATCATATAAAAACATTCTCACAAAATGTTATGCTTACATAATTCGATTTCATTGCAGTTATTTTCATAGAATGCGTGAAAGGATCATGATGATCAAAGGTCTGAAGGTTGAATGATTGTTTGTAGGATGAAGATGATCAATAGTCGTTGAATGAAGATTTTCAAGAATGTCATTGAATTCTTATAGAATGGAGATTATACGAATTACTAACTCCAAAACATTCTATTCTTATAGAATATGACTATAATGTATTTTTTACCTTGATTATTGAATAATGTTAACAATAAATTAGTATCCTTTAAGAATGTTGTTATCCTTTAATAAATGGTTCGTAATTTGTTATATTTTTAAGTTCATTGAATAAAAATTTGTATTCGGTCAGAATATATAGTAAGAATGTTGTTATTTTTTAAGATACTCATAAAAATATTCTTTCAAAATGTAATCTTTTAGAATACATTCAAATTATTTCAAAAACAAATCCCTTGACTTTCGGCAGAATCCCTACAAATCTAGTTTTTTCCTTTTATAGTTCTCTCATAAAAGACCGAACTACGCTTATAGCATTATTTTTAGAAACTGAA